ATAGCTGCTACCCTAATAGTCTACATTTCCTTATCTAAGGATTGGGGCAGCTAGATAATTTTTTAAAAAAACACAGTCTATTATCAGGCCATAATTAGGTAGTTGAAGATATAGCAATTACCTTTTCCTCTGTTGACCTGACCGTATAGCTGTCTTGTTTCAGTGTGTGAATGCTAGTCTTGGGGCAGATACACCTGGATTTAAGAAGGGGGCTGGCAGCACCCAGTACATCTGGAACGTTTGCAGTATTCCTTGGCAGATGCAAGAACACAAGATGCAATGAGACCAAAAGGAAATGATATAAACTCAGGACAGGTTCCTAAAGATTAAGAGCAAAGCTCCCTCCCTCTGCACTTCTTGATAAAACCCCCTCTTTTTTTTAATAGGATGTGATAGGAAGACCAGCGATGACTGCTATCTCTAGCTTAGGGACCTGGGTGGGTAAGCACTCAGCAGAGGGGACACTGATGAAGGAGCAGGTTTGGGGGAGGTGAATGAAGATAATGAGCTTTGGGACATGCTGAGTTTGAGGCACCTATGGGACATTCAAATGGAGATGTCTGGAAGGCAGCTGGATGTGTGGTCTGTAGCTCCAGATAAGTTCTGGGAGGCATCAGAAGGCAGTGAAAACAGAATCCATAGGGCTGGTTGAGATCATAACCACACAGAATGAGAACAGAAGAGGATCCTGCATGGAAATCTAATGAGCCCCAACATTGATGAGCAGAAGACAAAGACCCTACAAAGGAGATTGGGAAGGAACTGCTAATATTTTAGGCTAATGTGAATGTTACTGTCAAAATATTTTACACTATTTCCAAATCTGAACAGTGCAAATAGAGACACTGAGATAATTTTGTTAATTTCATCTAACTGCAATAGAAATAAATGTCATATTTGAAGACACGATTTTGCAGGCTTTTCCCAAAAGAAATACAAGTACCAATAAACAAGTGAAAAGTTGTTCAATCTCACTAATAGAGTTGCAAGGAAAAAATACATCAAATTAGTCTTTGGAAGAAGTCACTGTTTGTATGCTTTATTACGTATATCACTTGGGACTGACAAGGATGCAGTGAGACAGGCCCTCTCATCACGGTTGGTTGGACTAAATGGAAAGGAATTTAGAAAAAAACCTATCGAGCACCATAAAAATCTTTAAACCCTTTTTCTGTGCAAGTCTACTTTTTGGATTTACTCATATGCAATTATTGACATTTATGTGAAGAATTTATGTAAAAATATTTCTTCTACAGTATTATTCATAAAAACAATAGTTTTTAAATCTGAATGTATAGCTTTATAGGAATAATTAAATTGTGCTATGCAATATATATATAATGGAATAAATGCTATGTAGTCTCTAAAAATCATGTTTTGAATAATTATTTTCTATAGCAAGAAAATGTTTAGTATACAATACTAAGTGAAATATGCATAATAATTCCAATTTATTACAAATATACACACCGACAGACACAGAAAGTAGTCTTAAAATAATAGTAGTTACCTGGTAATCATTGAATTGCAAATAAACCTTTCACTTTCTTCTTTAACATTTCTACATTTTCTCAACTTTCTACAATGCACATTGTAAGTTCTATAATTTAAAATGTTATTTTATTATATCATATTAATAAATATTATAGTTAGTAATATTTTAATTACTAAAACTTTTTATTTCAAAATACCTCTATTATCTTTAAGGACATTTTTATATCTCATAACTAGGAATTTTGGTTCTAGTTCCTACCTAAGGTTGGCACTATTTCTATTTCACTCTTTTCAAAACAGAGGACAGCAAGGCAAAATGGATCAACATTGAAAGTTACGACTAAATACTGGCACCTACTCAGATCAAGAAAAAAATTTAAATTATAACCCTATAAAGTTTAGAATTTGAGAGAAAAATTTATATTGGTATTGACTGTGACATGGAAATGAGACAGAAAGAGACATGGAGGTTGTATGTTAACTCGTTAGAAAGTGATTTCTGATCACTTCCATCATTTATCAGATGAAAGCCAACATCATTATCTGGAAAAAAAGACAACTTCATTATTTGGGAAAAAAAACTTGAAACCTTTTTGAAAATGTTACTCCTTTTTGAAATTTTTCTTTATCATGCAATGATCTCCTTTAAGAAATCTGTGCCCTTGAACCACATGCTAATGCAAATTCACTTGCTGACTGGAACACTGAGAAATTACAAGCAGAAGATTGAATGTACTTTAAGTTTACTGCTTGAAAAAAAGAAAGTATGTAAAATGATGATTTTAGATTGTTGCAACTGAGACGTCATGTTGTTGATAAACAATTATGTAGAATCAAGACATATTCACAGGCCTGGCTGGTGTAGCTCAGTTGACTGAGCACCATCCCATGTACCAAATGGTCTCTGGTTTGATTCCCAGTCAGGGCACATGCCTGGGGTTGCAGGCTTAATCCCCAGCAGGTGACTGTTTTGCTCTCACATTGATGTTTCTCTCTCTCTCCCTTTCTTTCTCCCAAAAAATCAATTTAAAATCTTATTTTTTAAAAAGAGATTCACAAATGGGAAATATCTGTATTACTCTCAACAACAAAATAAATTGTTTTCTAAAAAAGAGACAAATTCACAACCACGGTCTTTCTTAATGTTCCCAATGACTGGCTCAGAATTTTGCCACACATGCTTGATAAAAAGTCAAGAAAAATAAACCATCGATTAAACTATTTCATTCAAATATGCTTGAGTATAAACAAGGTCTCATCAATATCAACTATAGATGAATAATAAAATGGCAACCCAATATTGTATTTATTATATATATACTTATGTTCACTTTCAAAACATTTGTTATTTCTTTTCAAAAAAACTAAGTCCTTAATTATCTCACTAAAATTTGTTTAATTTGTATAGTTTTTATGACCTTTCCTATGAAGTCCTATATAAGAAAAAATTTATTGTTAGATCTTATATTCCAATTTTTTTCATAAAATATTATACAAAAGTATAGATAAAAATTAATTTTATAACAAAGTTCACAGCTAAAGTCAGTGACGAAAGAAAAAACAGTATGATGAATGAGTCAACTGATTAGCTAGTTGGGAAACATTAATTTAGGTCTCCATCTCATGTCATTCACCAATATAAGTTTTTAAAAAATCAAAATGTTGTGTTTGGGGGAAAAATTAAGAAAAAAGTTTTTATCAGCTCTCTAACTGAAGAAGGACTTGACTTAAAAAATGTAATTAGAGCCCTGACTGGTTTGGATCAGTGGATAGAGCATCGGCCTGTGGACTCAAGGGTCCCGGGTTCGATTCCAGTCAAGGGCATGTACCTTGGTTGCAGGCACATCCCCAGTGGGGGGGTATGCAGGAGGCAGCTGATCGATGTTTCTCTCTCATCGATGTTTCTAACTCTCTATCCTTCTCCCTTCCTCCCTGTAAAAAAACAATAAAATATGTTTTTAAAAATGTAATTAGAAAGGAAAACATGTAGAGTGAAACCTTAATATCCTACCGGTAATTGACCCAAGAAAGTAAACAGAGAACTTATGAGAGAAGAAATAAAAATAGTACTAAAACATGAAAAATGTTCAACTTCACCAATATTCAAAGAAATACAAATTAAAACAAGGTACTATTTTTAGTCTCAACTATCTTTTTTTCCTTTTTTTAGACTAGTTTATTGGTTTTGAGAGAGAGAGAGAGAGAAACATCGATGTGAGAGCACATTGATTGACTGCCTCCAGCACAACCCCACCAGGTATCGAGCTTGCAACTGAGACATGTGCCCTTGACCAGGAATCCAATCCATAACCTCCTGGTGCACAGGATGACACCCAACCAACTGAGCCACATCAGTCAGGACTCAAAAGATCTTTTAAAGTGACAACAATATATTTTGGTGAAATTTATGTGAGAAAAAAAGCACCCTCGTTTACTGCTGATTTAGGGTGTAAATTGGTACACTCTTTCTAAAAACCTAATTAGCAACAGATAATGAGCCATAAAATGCTCACACCCTTTTGTATAGTTATCTCTTCCCACATATCTTAAGAAGACTATCTAAAATAAGGATAAATATTTGTACACAAAAATGTTCATTACAGTATTAATGGATAATAGCAAAAACTTAAAATAAAAGTAATTTACAGAAATTATTTGGAGTTGCTTCATTAAATTACTGTATGCTTACAGGATGAGTGAGAGCATGATTTTTAAATTATACAGAAATGCCTATGATATAAAGTCACATAACAATTCAAACATTATACCCATGTAGCACGACATTTAAAAGTTTTATAATATACACACACATACAATTTCTACTAACCTGCTTGTTTTACACTATCATGAGAAAATGGCTAGATCCTCACTGAATTTGGAGGGTGCATGTGGAGTCCTCTAATCTAAAATACACACTGTGTGGGGCACAAACAATTCACTTTGTAGCTACCAAAGAATTAAGCAGTCACTCTCCAGAAAGAACCACTCAACACTTGAGCAACTGTATATGGCTTGTTCAAAGAAAGTAACAGCAGGAACTTACTGAATAGTCATTACTGACTCCTCTGAGCTACAAAGGACTGGCCAGTAAAATATGCACTTGCATACACATTACAACAGGCTAAAAGGAAATATCTTAAAATATTAACAGTGGTTTTCTGAGTAGATACTCTAGACCTTTGCTAATATATTAGCCACTATACACATGTGACTACTTACATTTAAACTGAAATTAAATACAACCCAAAACCCTTTCCTTCAGTCGCACTAGAAGCTCTATAGCCACATGTAGCTAGTGGCTACTTTGGACAGCAAAGATACAGAGCATTCATATCACCACACAAAGATCTTTTGAACAGGTCTGTTCATATGTTCTTTATACTTTTTTCCAAGTGTATTACAATATGCATTGTAGCAGAGTCCTCATATAAACAGGAAAATAAAAATGAGGGGGGCAGGAATGAGGTTAGCAGAGAAACACTTACATTAGAGGTGCAGAGAACACATTCTTTAGGGAGAACCCAGGGAAATAGTACTCTGGAGAAAAGCAGGACACAGGCACACTGGGAAGGAATAGGAAAGGCTAGAAAGAGACATGGGAATAATAGACATTCCGAGGAAATGAAAGAAAAGGACACAGAAATTCCAACAGCAGGGGTGGGGAAGGCAGCAATTATAGCAAGAAGTCACAGGTTCTTATCTCTCCCACTCACCAGCCATTACAGCTGCTGACCGCTGAGCTGGTCCAAAAGGACATTTCCCCCGGCCACTCTCAATTCTTTCAACCTGCTGGAAACTGGACACGGCCTACAGACCAGAAGAGGGCAATTGGTTTAGGGGTCATAGGGTTCCTGATGAAAATCACAAAGATGTTCAGATGAAGGAAAAGCCCAGTTCCCATTCCTCTGCTACATCCCCATATTCCCAGTCTGTTACTCCTGTTCCCCTGCCCAATCCTGCATTTCCCATCTCTGCCATACCTTTTTCATCAGTTTATTCTTCTTCCTTCAATCCCCTAATACCCAACACCACATGCTCTAATGAAGGAGCACCTAAGATGGCCCTAGATGACACGGAGAGGCTGAACGACAGATCTTTCCTCTGAAATTGGTAGGGTTTGCAACTGGCTGGAGAATGTGGTATAGAACAAGGAGGATGAAAGCAGGCCTCCTGAAGTCTGAAGCCCTTAGGAAGAATAAAGAAAAGTAGAGACTGATACAGGACCATCTGAAGCCCAGAGGTCTAAAGAGAAGGGCCATCCTTTCCCCTAAGTATATATGTCCCCTGAGTATAAGTACACTACTGGCCCACACCCACCCCAAGGATAAAAGATAGCACCAGAGCCAAGGATACAGAGAAGGGGAAAGAGAATCTGCTTGAGCTCAGGTCAGAATTTGAGGATTTGCAAATTTAATGCCTTCCTCATCCAGAGACTCCAAGAGGAATGACCTGGGTGTGGGCGAAGGGTGTAAGAGCCAGCCAGAAGTGACCTCAGCTAGGCATCATACACTAAGAGAGGCTTCAAGATAACTAAAAATAGAAATCAGGGATGATTTCAACCTAGGACTAACAGGAAATGTTAACTGTGGCTGGTTGGGAATCAAAGTTATGGCATGGAAGTGTCAGGATATCTCTGGCTCACAAACTAGTGTGCACAGATGGTGTTGCTGGAGCCTAATAACCTGGACGGTAGTTGGAGCTGCAATGCAGATATATGTCCCCTGAGTATAAGTACACTACTGGACCATTCTGACTGCTTGTGTATTTGCTGTAATTGGCAAACAATATTTTATTTTATGGAGAGAGTCTTGGACAAGGCCTGTTAAAAACAGATGTCATATGAGATTCCCAAAAGTGAATACTGGGTCAAAGAGTTTTCTGGAATGGAGGACTAAGCACCTTACCTGTGTGGCAGTGGGAGCATCCTAGCCTGAGGAGAAAGATGACAGTTCAGTAAGAGATTACCAAGTTGTGTGGGCACTTTAAGGACATAGTTAAAATCTGCTATGTCCCCTCTTACCTCAAGTATGGCAGTAACCCCCTTTCTGCCACACTGCCTACCATCATCCTCAATTTACTCTACATATCCACCCCAGAATTACATTCCTAGTCTATCAGTCACTGATTTGACTAATTTTTGAGCAAGAGAATAACAAAATGTCACACCATTGCCTGGAGTAGAAACTCTTTAGCCCAAATTACTTATTCTCTAATACTTCATAAAAGAAACTCTTTCTTCTAACCAAACTGGATCACCTGTTATTCCTAGAAAACAAATTATGTTTTCCCGTCTCTATGCCTGAAACTACTCCCTTACATTTCACCAAGGACAGAAAGGATGAGCCTTTTCTCAATTGTCATTCTCTTTAATCTTTAGTTACTTTTTGTTACTTTTGACTCACTCTCCTCCTTGAAATATTTTATTTCTTGACTTTCTTCAAATTATACCTTCCTAGAGTCCCTCCTCCTATATAATTGTTGTTTCTCTATCTCCTCTAATTGTTTCTCTTCTTCTTTCTAGCCCCTAACTATGAATTCTAAAAAACAAAACCTTAGTCCTTTTCACATATACTTTAATTATGTTGTCAGCCAGACCTATGCAAATCATTCCCCAAACTCTCCAATCTCAGGTTTTCCAACTCTAGTCCACGTTTGCACTTAACTGCTGGACTTCCTCACAGAGATGGCTTATCAAGCCCTTCACAATCATCATGTCAAAACTAGTCCTCTTCCAGTTTCCCCAAATAGAATCATTACGTTATCTAGGTTTATAGCCCTTGAGCAAGTGAGCCTCCTATTAATTAAACAGATTATGATTACTGTATGGTCAAAATTGCATTTAATAGGGTCTGAAAGGGGCCAGACCACTCTATTACATTCTATCTCTGAATGTTGAGCTTCTTCATTGTATCATCATTGTACAAATGAGCATATCAGTTGTGGCGAAGGCCAGAGCTAGGTAGGAAGGCTATCACTGAGCTGTGAGGCTGGAATCCATCCTTCTTGTCTTGGCAAAAGACCTTTCCCAGGTGGTTGAGGTGGGAGTGGGGATGGGCAGAGATGGTCCCTGTTACATGAAACAGGTCAAATGTCACAAGAAGTTGAAGTCAGGTAAGGTCTTCTGTACTGCAGGTTGGACTAAAGGGTGGGAGTGGTGGAGCAGAGCCAGACAAACCTGGGTTTGAATCTTGGCTCTGCCTCTGCTAGATATATAATATTAGACATGGTACCTAACTTTTCTGAACTTATGTTTCACTGCCTGTAAAATGGAAGGAAATAACACCTAAATATTATAAGGGGGTGATGAGAATTAAACTCAATCATGAATGTCAAATACCCAGTACCAAGTCTGGGATAAAGCAGATACTCAATTCAATGTGAAGTCTTGTTGTAATGTAAGTCTAACATTTTTCTCTGTTAAATGCTGGAGTTCCCTCAACAAAACAAATTAAAACATTGACCTCCAAAAGCTAATGAGCTATCACTGAAGGGCAGCACTCCACATTGCTAGAACTGATAGGTCCAGTGCTTGAACTTCCTTTTGTAAGAACCTTCATTTCTCTGAGCAAGCTGTTGTGTCTGGAGCTGCTAGCTAGTCAAAGCTCTCAGAAAATAGTTATGAATACTCTCAAAGACATCAGTCTGGAACATGGGAATCTCAGAATTAAGAATAAGGCAAGAACTTGTTCAAGCAGATGGGCATGGGCAGACAGGATAAGACAGGCAGGTAAAAGCAGAAGAGAGCATCCAGAAAGTCTAGAGGGCAATCTTGGTATGTGGGTTGAAGGGTAAACACAGCTGATCTTTCTGTGCCCTATATTCTCCTAAAACAAGCCTCGACAAAACGACAGTCCTTCATTTCATAAGCCTGCTAAATTGAAGGTACAGAAAAAGAGCTGAAAGTCATGGGGCTGCAGATCACAGACCCCTGATTTTACTCTGGGTGCTGATGTTCCTTGAGAGTGGCCAGGGGTCCAAGTCACGCCAATCCTGACAGGTATGTCCAGAGCATTTTCTGTCTGGATACCTAACAGCCATTGGGGTCCAACCTCAGAAAGCCAAGGAAGAATAGAAGACCCTGGGAAATTAGCTGGGAGTAAGTCTATTCTCCCTAAGCCATGGTTGATATTCATACCCATGGGCTACCTGAGCCTGCACAGACTCAAAAAGGACAAATATGGCAATGACTATTCTACTGCTACTTTGTGAGCTTTGTGAGGACTATAGGAAAACTAGGGATTCAATATTACCTGATAAAATATAAAGATTTTCAATACCACTTGCCCTAGGAAACCCTCCATGAATGACAAGATGAGGGAGCTATCCACACCCAACAGGGAGCCTATCATTTACATTATGAAAAGGACTTGGCATAAGCCCAAGGGCAGCCCACAGGGACTGGCTATATATTGAGTATATACAATTATAGCATTCTAAGCCAGAGATATGAGGATGGCCTTTAACAGAGAGAGGTTTGGAGATAAGCACTGACCAGATCCAGGTGGCAAGGATTACTGAAGATTTCACAAGGGTGAAGTCAAGATTGAAGTTAAAGATCAGGGTCAGGAAAAGGAGTCATTGCACTCCCTCCTATTGCTTCATGGAGTAGGAAGGGAAGTCATTGGACGGAAAGGATGTGTGAGGCTTTCAACTTATCCTCGGGCCTTGTCACAAAGGTGAGCTACCAGAGAACCAATAACTGACTACTGGATAACTGATGGGAAAAGATGAGGATTCAAAAACATCAAGACCCTTCCTGAGATATCACAGTCCCAGGCTTTTGTCGCCAGGACCAGCCTAGATGTGACTAAGGGTAAATATGTACCAAACCTGCCAGGGTGTGAGGGTGGAAATGCCAAGGCTTCAGCAGCAATGAACAGGACCTGGAAGAAAACATGGCTGACAGAGCAGCCACCTTGAAGGCAAGATCGATCCAGAGTATGGTGCCAGCAGATGCTACTTAGTGGGCAGTGACCTCAGAAGCTCATGAGAGGAGAGGGTCACAGCCCAGGTACAGTGAAGTTGGCAGTAGATATGGGAGAAGGTGGTGAGAGTTACATGCCATGGGAGGAAGAAACAGGCATGGACAGTGCTGATTAAGAAATGGACTCAGGAAAAAGAATAAAGAAATGGACCCAGGCTCCTGGACGAAGCATACATAGGACAAGGGAAACGTGAGTTACTAGCTCTGAAGTTTCTCCTGGATTTCTCCTCTCCCCAGCTCAGCTAGCATCCATAACTTCCTTCACTGTCCCTCTATATCTCCCTTTAGACTTTGGATAACTTACCTTCTACAGACAACCTCCCTCCCCACCCTTTCCTACCTCTCCAGTGGCAAAGGCTCCACCCAGTGAGGACATCCCTCACCCCCAATGTTTATCATGCACATTGGTTGCCTTAAGCATGCCCCCATCATGGTCACTCACAGATGACCCTTCCCATCCTCCCACCCCTGTCACTCACAATAACCCCGCACTTCGGATCAAAAGCGAAGGTGCCACAAGTGAGGAGGTGAGAGGCATTGGCAATGGCGAGAATCTGGACAAAATTGTGACATTCGTCCTGGGGGTCAGAGATGGTTAGAGAGAATCAGAAGCAGCAGGTACAAGGAAAGGTAGGGTAGTGTCATGCCAGTTAGATGCAGCTCAGGGTCAGTAATGATGGGTAATGGTATGGTGTTAGAGTTCCTGCCAGGGCCCATTGGGATGGCAGCACTGCAGGGGACTGACAGAGTCAGGACTGGGCCAACGTTTCAATTGACACTCAGGACAGGACCCAGATTTACACCTACCTCCTTCTTGCCTTTTTCCCTACAGTTCTGTCTGTGGGCCTCAGGCACCATCCAGTCAATCTGAGAATGGAGGAATGACCATTTCCCCCTGATTCTCCCTGAAGTCCTCCCGAGTCAGGGTAGATAACACAGTTCCACAACCTCCATCAATTTGGGAACTGCAGAGACACCCCTCACCCCCAGAGCACTGTTTTTAAAACTGGAGGTCCCCAGCTATTCATAAGTAATAAAATCAATTGTGAAATCACAGCCAACATTACTTTTATCAAAATATATCTGAATGTATCTCATATAGGAGAGTAGATATTGGTTCAAGTACACACTTTGTGTACGGAGTCAAAATATACCATATATTTCTTATTAAGGGCTGATCAAAGAAGTTTGAAAGCTATTGTCCTAGATTAATGTGATTCTAATGATTCCTCTGCCCACTATCACCTAAAACCTGGTCACTGTGGCCTCCTCCCCTCATCATGAACCTCCCTCACACCCTCCCCCATCACCATGATCCCCCAAACACTCTCAGCTGAGATAATGTACTTGATGGCCTCCCCTATTCATTTTCACTAACATTTCACCTCCTACAACACCCCTCCCTGACCTCCCATAAAACCTTGGATCTAATCACATGCTCTGGGGTCTTCCCCACTCTCATCTCTCACCCTTCGAGGTCTCTCCCCTGAGAAGGGCAGAGATAAAGCGAAGATGGTGTCCCGGGCGCCGACATAAAGTGTATGGGAAGCAGGATCCACAAGAAGAACAGAGTAATTGTATGTCTGGGGGACGCTGAACCGGGTAAGATAAGTGTCAGCCTCTGGCAGAAAGAGAGGGAAGAGTGATATCAGCCATCGCTTCAGAGGGTTAGGTCCACAAGGACAGAAGGGCCAATTTTTGTTTTCTTAGATTTATTTATCAACCATCAGGGGGGAAAGACAGAGCCTGATAGGCCATGTAACTTTCCCAGAGATAGATAACTGATGAGGCCAGAATATTTAGCACACAATGCAGTCAGGTATGTTTTTTCTATAAAAATAGAACACTTTATTAAAATAACAACATAAATATTAAGTCTGTAAAATCTATTCATAGCAACATGACACACAATTTGAAAATATCTATAAAAGCTTCAAGTACTCTCCTCTCTAAATTTCCCTTTAAAAAAAAAAACACTACTTAATAATAACTTCCTTTTACTTAGAAGGGAAATGCTACATTCTTTTCACTAACACATTAGGAGACTACCACCTCTCTCTCCCACAACCCTTGATCCCTCCCACCTCCATTCTACCCAAAAAGCTAAAAGGTATAAGCAGCGGTTCTCAATCTGTGGGTCTCGACCCCTTTGGCAGTCGAATGATCCCTTCACAGGGGTCGCCTAAGACCATCCTGCATATCAGATATTTACATAGCGATTCATAACAGTAGCAACATTACAGTTATGAAGTAGCAACGAAAATAATTTAATGGTTGGGTCACAACATGAGGAACTGTATTAAAGGGCCAGAAGGTTGAGAACCACTGGTATAAACCATAGTAGGCAAGAGTATATGCTTTAGAAATGGATCAGCCCAAGGTTAAATCTGGCTCTTTCATTTACCAGCTGTATGATCTTAAGTTACTTGCCCTCTCTGAGTATTACTTTCCTCTGTAAATACCACCATCCAGGGTGGTTGAGAGAATTAAATGAAATAACATGTGGAAGCATCTGACACATAGTACAAATCGTTCCTTCCTTCCTTAAGTATGAGCTCTGTTTTGACAAAATCTAAATCTCACATCAGCATTCAAAATTCTTATCTATTTACCTCACTCTCACATCTATGTTTCCCTCGCTTCCGTCTTGCTATCTCCCCCTCCCTCCTTTCCACTTTCTCTGAAAAAAATAAAAGAAAGAAAGCAAGAAAGAAAGCAAGGGGGTGGGGAGATATACTCTTATCTATTTAAAGATTATAACAAATAAGTTAGCATACATTCTTAGCTCAATGTCTGGCTCCAGGGTTCCTATGCCCCCACTAATACACCTCTATTCTACCTGTTTCATCTGCTCAGCTACCCTCAAGACTGATAGAATGCCAAGCAGCCATTCATTCCTAGATATGCTGATATACGGAGCCCCACCCATCTCCCTACAATCATATTCATGACTGTGCTGTCTCTCTCATGCTTAGAATAAGCCCTGGTTCCCTCAACCTCCTTTTGTATCCCCAGCTCTGCTCCACCTTGCCATCTGGACCTCTCTGGGTCCCTGGACATCAACCCAGCCTGGTAATCACAACTCTACGTAGTGGCTATTGCTCCAGCACAACCTGAAAGCCCACACTCCAATCATTTGTCCTCTCAACTCAAAACATCCTATATGTCACTGAACTGCAGTTAAGACTAAATTAATATCAACTAGTTGAGAGCTTTTGCCAACAGGTTGTACTCTCAGCTTCACTGGTTCTGTCTGCCCAAAGTGCTAACACTCAATGCCCACTGAGAAGAAAACAAGACCCACAGCCACACTCATGCCTACCTCAGCTGAAAGCCTCTAAAGCAGTGATTCTCAACCTTCCCAATGCCTCGACCCTTTCCTCATGTTGTGGTGACCCCCAACCATACAATCATTTTTGTTGCTACTTCATAACTGTAATTTTGCTACTGTTATGAATCGTAATGTAAATATCTGATGTGCAGGATGTATTTAGGCGACCCCTGAGAAAGGGTCGTTCAACATCCAAAGGGGTCGCGACCCACACGTTGAGAACCGCTGCAAGTGTGAATCACTCTAATGACCACTTTTAACCTTGTGGCATCCCCTGGTTTCTTGCCCAACTTTTGAAAGGACCACATCTCCCTCCTCCTTTTTTCTTTCTGGAGACTTTAAAAAGCATTTAAACAGAATTTTAACTAAACTCACTAAGTGGGTCCCAACATTCAGTGGAGGGAATGGGTAGGGAGAACAGGCAACGTTAGGAAATTAGGGTTGTGATAGATCGGATTGTGGGGGAATGGGAGCTGGTGTCAGAGATGGAAGGGAACTGGGAAGTGGGTGGGGAATATTAGGGCTGTGGGCAGGACAAACGGGAAGGGTGGGGGATAGAACTAATGAATGATGTGCGAATGAATTTGAGAAGTGGGCAGTTGGAAATGCTGAGCTGGTCACCAAAAGAATGGGTGGGTGGAATAGAATGGAATGAGAGATCTCCGGGTTTGGAAGCCAGGATGGGTGCCAAACTGGCGTGACCGACACAGGTGCATGTCTGGTAGGAGGATAATAAGGGAGAGAGAACTGCAAACAGATGGCCTCCGGCAACTCCCAAACCCGCCCTGGGCCTCAGTGCCCATGTCTGCACCGCGACGGACTTAACTCTCCCGCGGTTCTGCGAATAAGGGGCCGCGGGAGCCGCCTGGGCGTGTCGCGAGGGCCGAGGCGCGAGGCCCGGCCCGGGATGCGATGGAGCAGCACCGCGTGGGAGTCCCGCCTGCTCTCAGGCGGGGATGGCCGGCTGGGAGGGGCCCAGGATGCGGCTGCCTGGGTCCGGGGAGCAGGAGGTGTAGGCACCCGCGGGCGGCGCCTGGGCGCAGCGCAAAGGGCTGAGGGCGAGGGCGCCCGCGCCTTACCTGACACGGGAAGCGAGGTCCTGGGCACCGAGCGGGGAACCAGACCGCACACCGGGCCGCTCAGCACCGCCAACAGCAGCAGCGGGAAATGCGAGCCGGGGCGGGGCGGCGCGGACAAGGACGGCATCTGTGGCCCGCCTGGCCGCCGGGTGGGGCGCACCCTACCGTTTCTGCTCAGGGACGCGGCGCCGCGGGCCTGGGTCCCACTGGTTTCTCCTCAGCCAGGTTCGGCCTCCGGCGGGCTGACCGCACGACACCCGGCCCCGCCCCTTCAGGAGGAGACCAATGGCGGTGCTGGTTTTCTCCTCCAGCCAATCGGGGTTGAGTGCAGCGCGGGCGGAGCGGAGGTGCCCCGCCCTGTAGGGGCGGAGCCAGGCCCAGGTGTGGGCGGGCGTTCTTTCTCCACCTCGGGCTGGAGGCGTCCTCTCCTGCGTGAGCGCCAGCGCTGAGCAGAGGAAAATTCCCCGCCAACCAGGTAGAGTTGGAGACCCGGGTGTCCCACTGATTGGACCGGGCACTCCTGTCCCAGCTGGGTTTTGTCAAGGGGACTATCGGAATCTACAGCAAGTGAATGAAAATGGAATGAGGAGCGCGGGGCAGAGCCGCCTGCAATGGTGGAGGTTTGAAAAGACTTCCCAGAGCTTCCCAAGGGAAGACTAAACTCTGACTTCCATGAGGGCAGGCGCCATTGTGTGTGTGTCCACTGTACCCCAGTCCTAGCACAGCGCCTGGCACAGAGTACGCCCTCAGCAAATGCTTATTGAATAAAAGAGTGACTGACTCAGTGAATGGATGAGTGAGTGAGTGAGTGAGTGGATGATGGAGAAGAGAAAGGTTAAAGCCAAGAGCACAATGCAAGTACCACTGGAATGTTCCATGGGGGTAGCTGACAGGAAGTGTCAGGGGTAACACTATTCTCCACGGAGATCCAAACCTCTACCCACATACCTCACCCCCCACCCTGCGCCCTTGGAGACCGAGCTCCTGGGGTGCAGCCTGAGCTGGACCCAGAGGCGACTCCCGCCTCCAGCCGCCGGCCTGAGGGGGGCGCCTTCCGCTGCGCAGGCGTGTGCAGGGAGCCCAAGGGTGGCTGATGGGTCTTGGCCTTCCCCCAGCAAGTGGGGACCCCAGCGCTTCTCCACTTCTCAGGGCAGGAGAAGGGCTAAGGAGACCCGAGGGAGGAAACGAGGGAAACAAGAAGCCACCTGGGCTTTGGCCGGCTCGAGCCCCAGGCGGTGTTAGAAACTCGGGCTGGGGCAAGAGGGCGCCCAGGGGCCCAAACCCACCGGGTGCGGGTCCGGCTCAGCCTGGCAGGCTCAGCCCTGGCAGGGGGATCTGACCAGAGGATGGCAGACGCCTTGTCTCCCGAGGGCTCTCCCAAGCCTGGGCCCTGGGCCACCCATGTGTCAGGCACGCTAAGCGCCGCCACACCTGTGACCCACGACTCTTTGAGGGGCCCACGGGAATGTTCTGACTTCTTGTAAAGTCAAGAAAAAAAATGAAAGAATCAAAAAAAATGTTTTGGTTTTTTTTCTTACGTCAGAAAACAAAGTGAAATTTTTAGGGCCCGCAAAAAAATCTATTCATTATTATTTTTTTTTTTTAATGAGGAGAGAGTCCGGGGAGACAAAAGTGCTCAGGATCGCCCCTCCCGCATGGCTCAGTGGTTGAATTTCTTTTCTTTTTTTCTTTTTTTAAATATATATATATATATTTTTATTTTTTTTTTCAGAGAGGAAGGGAGAGAGAGAAACATCAATGATGAGAGAGAATCATTGATAAGCTGCTGCCTCCTGCACACCCCCTACTGGGGATCAAGCCCACAACCCGGGCAGGAATCAAACCTGGGACCCTTCAGTCCACAGGCCAATGCTCTATCCACTGAGCCAAACCATGAATCAGGAGGTCACAGTTGGATTCCTGGTCAGGGTACATGCCCCAGTTGTGGTTGCAGACTCCACCCCAGTGTGGGCATGCAGGAGGTAATGTTTAATGATTCTCTCTTATCATTGCTGTTTCCCTCTCTCTCTTCCTCTCTGAAATCAATAAGGACATTTTTTTAAATAAATAAATTAAAAGTGCTCAAGAACCACAAACTTTTTAATTGAGCGTCGAGGGAGGGAGAACCATTGAATCAGTAGTCACAAATAAATTGTCCTAAGGGCTATAAAAGCGATTATGAGGGGCCGTACCCTATTAAGACCTAAAGTCAGTTATCTAAAGGATGAGGGGATTAAGGAGGGGAATGCTCAGACAGTGGGAACCACAGTGAGAGGCCCACAATTTGTGCATGTGAATGGCGCCCCAGTGGCGGGGTAGGCTGGAAGGGGGTTGGTCAGGGGATGGCATGGCATGAGGATGGAGAGATGAAACGGAGATGCATACAGAATTTCGGAGCCAGAGTAAGGATTTTGGATTTTGTCCCAAGTATAATTGAAAACCATTGAAAGGTTTTTCATAAGGGAGTAACTTGATGGCTTCTGGTGGTTCGAGGCCCAGTTCCAGGTTTAACCAGTTTGCAGGGACACCAGTAAGTGGGTTTTGTTGGCAAAAGTGGAGAATATAGTACAGGGTCAGATGTAGTCAGATGCTTAATGATTCTCTTAGTACTGTGCCCAAACACATCAAATACATTAATTGATCATGTTTGAGGATATAGGGAAGAGAACGGCCTCTTACCTCATTAAAGTCCAGTCTTGGAATTACACACAGTGTGGGATCTAAAAATGACTGTGCAAGCTGCAATTGTCAAAGTGATCTTTTAAAAAAAAATTTTTTTATTTGTTTGTTTGCTTGTTTAGTGAGGAAGGGAGAGAGATAGAGAGAGAGAAACATCGATGAGAGAGAAACATTGATCAGCTGCCTCCCGAAAGAACCCACTGGGGACTAAGCCCACACAGGTATGTGCCCTGACCAAGACTCAAACCGGTGACCTCTTGGTACATGGGTCGATGCTCAATCACTTGGCCAAACTGGCCAGCCAAAGTGATCTTAATCAATGGGAAAAATTACATTTATAATAGGACTTCTCAAAATTGTTGTCAAATGTTAAAAGCTCTCTTATTGTCAGTTATAAGTGTACAGGGAAATGAAAAATAATAAAATAAGTATCTGTTTAGCACACTATAAATTAAAACATTAGAAACATTGCGAATTAAAGTGTTTTACTTCTTTGTAAAAATTATCAATGGGCCCTAACCAGTTTGGCTCAGTGGATAGAGCGTCAGTCTGCAGAATCAAGGGTCCCAGGTTCGATTCCGGTCAAGGGCATGTACCTTGGTTGCAGGCACATCCCCAGTAGGGAGGGTGCAGGAAGCAGCTGATCGATGTTTCTCTCTCATCGATGTTTCTAACTCTCTATCCCTCTCCCTTCCTCTCTGTAAAAAATCAATAAAATATATATATGTATATATATATATATATATACATATATATATATTTTTAAATTATCAATGGTAGTTTGAATAGTGCTTGTGTTCCTCTTTTACTCAAAACATAACTTTGGATAGAGCAAGCATCTTTTCTATGCCTTAGCAAATTGTTATACTCCTAAGTTTGAATCAGCTTACAGTATTTTATCCTTTATGCTTTAAATTTTGTAAAATATTTCCACGAGTTCCTCTAATATGAAGTTTTTTGCAGTGGTACTTTGTCTAGGACATCTTTTTGTCATAACCACTTTTTTGTTAACTTTCACTAAGTTCCTCTGGCTATTTATATAGAGTCATCAAATGATGTCATTGTCAATATTCTCAGCTCTTTCTTCTACAACTCCATTTATGTTTGACTCAACTCACTTCCTGTATTATATCACTTACCATTTCTGTATGTGTAAATATACCATAATATATCCTTTCTAGCATTGATTAGCATATGTCTTGTTTGCAGTGTGGGGTAATTGTGAACAAGACTCTTATGGATACTCTTTATGCTGCTATGATCTAATTTTATTCATGTACCTTATGCATGTCATTATTCACCACATATGATTGTGAACAAAAATATCCAAAAGGATCTATGGATAAATTATTAAAATTAGTAAGAAAGTACAGCAAGGTTGTTAAATTTAAAAAATCAGTATTTAGAAATCAATTCTATTTCTATGCATTAGCAACAAACTGAAAACTAAATTTAAAGATGTAATGTAATAAACATTAAAAAATAGCAAATCTCTAAGAATAAAATTTAATAAAATGTGAGACCTTTTGAAGAAAATGATTAAACTAAATTATTTTATATTTTCTATATACACAACCGTAGCATCTGCAAACAATGAGTTTTATTTCTTTCATAATTCTTTTTATATGCCATTGTTTTCAATTTGCTTATATTTTGTTTAAAATTTTTACATCTACGTTCATGGATGAGATTATCCTATAATTTTTTTCTTATAGTATTCTGATTTTTATATCAAAGGTTATACTAACCTAGTAAAATTAATTGAGCAATGTTCCTTCTCCTATCCTCTGAAAGAAACTGAGATGGAAATTCTTAGTCTTTGAGAGTTTGATGGAACTCATCAGGGGAATCATCTTCCCTGTCATTTACTTTGTGGGAAGATATTTGGCTACCAATTAAGTTTATTCAATGGTTATAGAGTATTTGGGTTGTCAAATATTCTGTGTGATTTAGTATTAGTTAGATATATTTTTCTAGGAAGTTGGCCTATAAAGCTGAAGGTCAAGTCATGAAGGGTCTTGAATGGGTCTTGAAGGGGAAAATGTGGTCATATTTTCATTTTTAATAATTACTATGTACCAAAAAAAATTCAATGTGTTAGAAGCATCGAACAGACCGTCCAACCTCAGAGGGAAGGCGGGGGGGGGGGGGGGGGACGCCTAAGAGATCAACCAAAGGACTTGTATGCATGCAATGCATATAACCATAAACAATAGACACAGACAATAGGGGGGTGAGGGCATGTGCTGGGGTTTGGGAGCAGCCAGGGAGAGGTCAATGAGGGGGAAAGGAGACATATGTAATACTATAAACAATAAAGAATTTAAATTTAATTTTTAAAAAAATGTGTTAAGCACTGATAAAAAAAAGTTGACAAAACAGGTTCTCCCCCTTGGGAAATTCACAATATAGTGGGAGAGACAGTCATAGAAACAAACTACTATACAGCACAATAAATGCTATTAAAGAAAGTTTAGTGGGGGGGCGGGCTGGGAGAGGTCAATAGGGGGGAAAGGAGACATGTAATACTTTCAACAATAAAGAATTTTTTAAAAAAAAGAAAGTTTATGAAGGGATATA